TCCCTGGTTTAATAATCTAGATTGATAGTTAATTGAATCAAAATAAAAAGGATTATTTTTATATCAATATCTGATAATTCGGTTGCCCCAACTACACCCACGATCTGAGAGCCGTGACAAATATAAAACAAAAAAATAGACATCCCCTGCTACATTGTTGCACACTGTAGTAGTAGTAGTAAATATTACAATGTAACACAAATAGTAAACATACTTTGGTACTATGCAGCACATTGTAGTAGAGTATACTACAATTCTATCTTTTTCATTTCGAAATTACTTTCATATAAATGCAAATACTGTGTGTAAGCCCTTTATGCTTTTTTTTCGAAACGTGTTGATATCGACTCAGTTTTTCTCAAATTAAACCAACTTGAAAAATCGAATAATTTTTATAGCAATCCTGCAAATAAACAAGCGCCTGTCTTCACACTTCCTTCCCCGATATTTATCACTAACTTATACCTCACTGTAATGAGTTAACAAAAATCAACAGCAGCAAACTCAAGTGAGGCAGAAAAAAATATATAAAATAAACTCCAACCTCGACATCTTTTTTTCTTTCGAACAGCAACCATCCATTGGAAACAGATTTCAGAAATGGTTATTGAAATGACCTACCGGAGAACGATAGCAATCAACACTCCCAGCACTCTGCATGGCCGCACACAAAACAAATAAAGCCCCTCCAACCCCCTTACATCAACAACATCCAAAAAGGGCTGCAACCTCTTCTCGCCTTGGCTATAGTATCGACCGCAGAATGATTTTTCATTAGGGAAGGTGCCATGAGAGGGGCGGAGAAGGATGAATGGATTCCCCCCTCCTTGCATTCGAAAAATATCGTTATTCTATTAAGAATGAAAAAAAAGTAAAATAGAAATATATGAAGGGTTCGCCATAAGACATCATTTATTTTAAATAATGCTTCCTCCAGCCTTCCCACTTCGTTCGTTTCTGCAGAAACAGAAAACTGGTTTCACACGGGTGACTGAGGTTCAGATACATTCTCTGTCATCGGTTTTGACACGAGGCATGCATTGTTTTATTCTCGATCACATAAGGGGACCGTTATTTTTACTGGTTTTCTGCTGCTCAAGCGTTATGTGTCCTCACGGAAGAAGTGTACCTCGTAATCGATTGTTTTTTATGAGGTGGGACGCTTCGTTATATTTTATTTTTTTACCCACCTTCTTCTTTACCTTCCTATCCTTCTCGTCTGGACTTCATTGCACGTTGAGTAAGTCAGAACGGCTAGCGGGGTTTTCTTGAATGTGAACACTGATGGCATAATGAAAATTCTGTGCTCTTTGTTCTCAAGTGTTAATGACTTACTCTATCCTCCGTAAATATATTTGTAAGACACGACTAAACATTCAATCATATTCTCATCATATATTTAACATGGATCTTAATGTTTTACTAACTAAATCAAATTATAGTACGTGTCTGATATTGGGAATCTTTGAGTATTTGTGGAGCGTTAGATATATTGGTGAACATATAAAATATAGCTCGCGTCAGACTGATCCCTTGACCGAAACATCTGCACATGCATCCAGCACTTAAGGTCACAAAAACTGAGATAGGCACAGCAGGCCTTCGCCTTACTGGTATGCTGCGCTACTGAGTTCAGTTAATAAAAATATAGTACATGAATGATTTGTGACTATTGTAATAGATCCCAAATTTAAACATTTCATTTTTTAGCAAGACATGTGCACGGAAATGTGTAGTCGGACTATTAATAAACATGGCAAAATAAACGAAGACATAGATAGCAGCACGTGTTTGATTGAAGACAAAACTGTCAATGCAAGTGACATTATTGATAGATTATTAATAGATTATGAAGACGAACAAGAAGAACTGGATTCTTTGAGAGCGAACAAAATGCGTAAAGAGTGTTTTTTTCCAGGTATAAAAGTTTAAGTTGGCATTACTTTCCAAGAGGGCGACCGATTTAACAGCTGTCAAGTGATTTATTCTCAGTTTGGTTTGGCAATTCATCATGAATAGACTCACGCCTGAACAACGCTTTCAAATTGTGCAATTTTATTTCGAAAATAATGGTCGATTTTCATAAGCGAATTTTGTTTAGCGATGAAGCGCACTTCTGGTTGAATGGCTACGTCAACAAACAAAACTGCCGCATTTGGAGTGAAGCTAATCCACAAGTGTATGTCGAAACACCGTTACATCCAGAAAAACTGACTGTTTGGTGTGCTTTATGAGCTGGTGGAATCCTTCTTCAAAAACGATGAAGGCCACAACGTTACAGTCAATGGTGATCGGTATAGAGCCATGATTACTAACTTTTTCATTCCTGAATTGAACAATCATGATGTCCAGGAGCTGTGGTTCCAACAAGACGGCGCAACATGTCACACAGCTCGTGCCACAATCGATTTATTGAAAGACACGTTTGGTGACCGCCTAATTTCACGTTTTGAACCTGTGAATTGGCCTCCAAGATCTTGTGATTTAACACCGCTAGACTATTTTCTGTGGGGCTATGTAAAGTCATTGGTCTATGCGGATAAGCCACAAACGCTTGACCATTTAGAAGACAACATTCGCCGTGTTATTGCCGATATACGGCCACAAATGTTGGAAAAAGTCATCGAAAATTGGACGCCCAGATTGGACTATATCCGAGCCAGCCGTGGCAGTCCTATGCCAGAAATCATATTTAAAATGTAATGCCACAAGATTATCTTTCGAATAAAAAAATTCATGTCAATCGAATAATACATCGTTGTTTTATTGAAATTTAAAGTTCTATACCTCTAAAAAAAAACACCCTTTATAAACACATAAAAGAAGCTAGCATAGCTAGTTCTAAATAGGCCCACAAAAGGATTTTGATACAGGGCTTCACTAAGGACTAAGCTATGCCAGAGTTCAAAAGGTTTGTTTTTGAATGTGTATTAGTTGAGTAACAACAGTTGTTTTTTGGATAAAAGTTTTTTGAACAGAATTACTTAACAATTAAATTGGTAGAATTTTCACAAATCGTATGATATTGTATTGATAATAATACGAAACCGATTTGTTTCATTATAAATACATTTAAAAGTTAGTCTTTTGAGTCCTTTTAGCAAAACCTTTTTTTTGTTGTTGTTGTCACCTTGGAGTATCAGTTTTGATTTGATTTTAATTTACGCCACCTTGTCAAACAATATAAGGGCTATTGGCAACGGACATCACAATTTTCAACCACGGTTAAGTGACGAGGATGACACCTGAGCTAGCATCCCCTTTTCGGTAATCTTTGGGAAAAGCATAAGCTGCGGCAGCCTAGTAGTCAAGGTAACAGACTCGTGGTTGGTGTGTCATATGTGTTCGCGCTCCGTACCTCTGTGTGGGGAAGCGATGCACGTTAAATCTGTCGAGAGCTCAAACGTCCTCTCATTGGTATGGTGTGGTAGTTAGGAGAGGGAGGGGCCAGCTCAGGTGTTGTCCTCGTCACTTAACCATGGTTCAAAACTACGAAGTCCATCGCCAAAAGCCCCCGTGAGTGTGCGATGTTAATATTGTCTTACTCCCTTGGGGAATACATAGATTTATTTTTTTTAATTTTATTTTTATGTCGTAACAATTGAAATAAATATTTTCGTTTTTTTCAACTGGTTGAAACCTGTATTATTTTCAAATATTTAGATTTAAATTTCCCCAAAACATTTTTGGAAGTGTTTTAAAAGAAAAAAGGTAACAGATATTCTGATGCATTTCCATTGTAATTTTATCTCCATGAGCATTGTTCACATAATCAGTTCGCACACATGAGCATTGTCCATATTTGAATTTAGTTTTCAAAATCTCTCAAGTATTATATTAATAAGAGAAGAGATTTAGATATTTTGAAATTAATTTCTGTTTTCCCAATACATTATTCAGAAATTTTCTAGAAAGATACTTTTTATCAAAAGTGAATGAGAAAAAATGCAAAATAAGGCAATGCTTTTAGTAAAAAAAAATTTTCTTATCATTTTCAATAAAATCTGCATAAATGTATTAAAAAATACGAACTCTTTATTTTTGAAAATAACATCAATGGAATCTTCATCCATAATTAATTGAACGTTTAATGCAGCTTGAATAATTTATAAGTACTCTCTAATGCATTTTTTGCAGTGTGGTTGCTAATTTGAAGTTTTATTTTTGCGCTGAGATAAATGTCTTCTTTGAGTTGTAAATGTACGTAGAGATGTGTCGTTTTAGGAAGAAAAAAATGAATACATTTTATATACTTTAGCTAAAAGATAAAATAATCTGTGCACAGTTGAGACATAGTAACTAGAGTTTAATTTAATTTGTTAAGTATAGCTTTATAATTACCATATTAAACTTGTCAAAAGACGTTGAGTTAATTTTTATTTATATTAATTTATAATAAAGTAAAAAATAAGGGGATAGGAGAATATCAAATTAAATTAATTGTAACTAATTAATTAAAGTAGAATTCTTCTATAATAGAAAATTTTTGAGGATTTTTGAGGTGAATAAATCTAACACTAATGAAGTTTAATTTTTGTTAATAAATTAAGTTTTTCCCCTTTATTTTGCAATTTTTTTTAACAGAAACATTTCTTTCCTCATTTTATGTGCTGATTGTATTGTATGCGCATAACTTTATTATCTTTATATTCATTTTAATGTTACTTACGTAAAGAAATACTGGATACTTAACAAATCCAAATTTGTTTTTTAAAATTACAATTCTATTAAAGAATTCATTAGATTTTTCTATTTGGACTAGAAAAACGTCACAAACAAATATTCTTTGCTTAAAAAATGATATCAATCTTTTCAACAGATTTAAATTGAAGAAAAAAGAAAGAAAGGGGAAAATTTTTTTTAACGACGTTTACTTTAAGATTAAAGGTTAAAATCGAAACAGAAAATATAATTTATGAATGAAAAACTCCTCTTAATACAGGTGAAAGAAATTTATATTTTTCTTATTTGGTTTATCTGTTTTTTTTTAGTTGATACTTGCCACCCAGTCTAGTATGATGGGTATGACCCTCGGCTTGTAACCGAGCGGGCTCGAGTTCGAATCCCGAATAAGGTATGGTTGTATTTACTTTGGGAAAAGAAGTCGGGGACTTTCGCCTGTAATGGATTCCAGTCCAGAATGGAAAGCAGTGCACCTCTTCTGTTATATGCTGGGATCAACATTTGTAATGAATGTCTATATTGTTCTGTTTGTATTGTATATTTATGTTCTTCCATTTGTATTTCATATGTATCTCAGGATAAAACACACGACAACAACATTAGTTGATACTTGTTTGAAGTCATAACCAATAGTATTATATAAACTGAGAGTTTATTTACTATTATACTTACTAGAAAGAACAAATTATTCACTTTTTGCAGTTCAATTTTTTTCTTTCTTCCTTCATTTTGTTTTGTTTGTATAAACAGTATCAAACAGGTTAAGTATTAAAAAAGTTCAGGAAATAATATTGTTACAAATTTTGCGTAATTAATGCTTAAAATAGCATAAATAATTTGTATTTAGTTGTTTAATGCATTAATATTACTTTGTGTTGTATTTATTCTATGATAAAAAATGCAATATTTGCAAGCAATACTGTACCTTATATCTATACCTTACATTATAATGTCATTTCAACCGAAACATGGCGATGCAGTCAAGTTGGCAACGTTTTTGGCGACCACTTCGGTGGGGTGGCGTCTCTTTATTTGGTAACTTGGCTATCATATAGATACTTTTGAAAATTTTTTGAGGAATCTATTAACATCACTATCATGACGCAAGTAGATCTATCCTGAAAGAAGGCAGACTATAAATAGCAGTCACTCCCGGACACTGAGTCAGTATTACTTTGACTGTTGAAGAGTCCACTAGTGATTGGACGCCTGCAAATAAATTTAATGTATTTGTATTTTTAGACTCTAATAGTTGTGTCTGAGCGCTGCAGAAGGTTTGAAGATCTTCTGGGATTTAATTTGCGAATTTTGCTGCTATTACCCGTACTTAATGAATCGTTTAGCTACAATAAATTTCTTCACTCTTAAGGTACTCTTTTGCTCTTTAAGACTGTTAGTATAAAATCCATGAACCCCGATCACACACACGTAGCAATATAAATTTTTTAATTGTAAAATATATTATTCTTAAATTCTCTTAATCTTGATGCATTTTCCATTACCAATTAGTTTTGGATCCACACTTAGATGCTTTGGACAAAGAAAATCTAGCATTAGGCATACCTCACTTAAGTTTTTTTATCTCTCTTTGGACAACATTCGTTGCAAATTTTGTTTTGGGTGTTATTTGGTTTTTCTCTCACAAGCCCTTAGTGACATTTTGTATTCATTATTACTGGATGATTGTTTTTTAATATAATATTTTTGTGAGTTTGGGTTAGCTGTTTTTCCTATATATATATATATATATATATATATATATATATATATATATATATATATATATATATATATATATATATATATATATATATATATATATATATATATATATATATATATATATATATATATATATATATATATATATATATATATATATATATATATAAGTTCTTTGAGAAAAATGTATCTGTCTTGTAGCTCTTTTTGATTGTATGAAAAATTTACATCCATAATGAATTTATTGCAGCCAAATCAATTATAATATAGAATTAACACGCAATGACTTAGTTCTATTTTTTGCTAGTTCTAGTTTTATAGTTATAAATTAACCAGAAATAAATGAATTTTTTAAAGTAGAAATATGCAATATATATATATAAAGCGCGATTCAACCTGGGGCAAATGTTGGGAAAATGAAGTAGAGCTTATTATGCAAAAAACAGTGTAAACAAAAATATAGAAAGGTATGCACGAAAGTGAAGTGTTGAGACTTAAAAAAAAAGGAACAGATGTGAAAGGAAACGTAAATTATTTTCGCACAGTTTCTATAACAAGTATCTCTTTGTATAAATACTTACAATAACTACTCAAAATTACGGCAACCAGCAGTATTATATGCTCATTGGCGTCAATAATGAGATTAACTTAATTTTGTAAAGTATTATTCACACACTACACCTTAAGATATATTCAAACAACGAGATTTTCGACGGAGTGAAATGGATACCGGCAAGCATATATATTAGTTATTTGAAATCCAAATAAGACGAAATTGGATTTAGATGCTTTTAAGGTGTCTATTTCTACCCAAATCAGAGATCCGCTAAACATAGACAATATTCGTAAGCCTCGTAATTTCGAACTCCGTTTAGATTCCGAGTTCTACACTGAGTGCACACCGAGAGCTGAACTCTGGTGCATCGTTTGCTACGTTTAAATCACGAACATCAAGATTGGAATCTTAACAACTTCATACTGAAGCATTCATGAAGTTGTAATCATTCGTCAACTATGTTGTAAGAAGATAATTATTTTCTTCGATGTCATTTTCTTACACTTATGACTCTACACTTGCAACACATTTGTGGTATTATACCAGTGGTGGAGAATATTTTTACCGAATAATTAGCCACTTATAAACTATGTAGTAATAAAGGAAGTCGCATTGGTTAATGTTCGTGGGTTCGTAACTTACAAATGCGAATTTTATGAAATTATTATAGTTTTTGAACAATTTAAACAATTTGGTGGAAAAAAAAGAAATATTGCAAAAAAATTGGTTTCTTATTTATTTATTACTTGACAGAAAAAGTTACAATATTGAATGTTTTTGTATTCGCATTAGGAACAAATATTAAATAATTTCTCTATAATAGCGCATATTGCTAGAGATATAATATCACAGAAGTAAAGGGTGTTTTTTTAGAGGTATAGAACTTTAAATTGCAATAAAACAACGATGTATTATTCGATTGACATGAATTTCTTTTTATTCGAAAGATAATCTTGTGGCATTACATTTTAAATATGATCAAGCAAGGCGTAGATTCGTCGAATGGGTCCAAAACGAGATTGCCGTTGTTTCCGATTTTCATAAGCGAATTTTGTTTAGCGATGAAGCGTACTTCTGGTTAAATGGCTACGTCAACAAACAAAACTGCCGCATTTGGAGTGAAGCTAATCCACAAGTGTACGTTGAAACACTGTTACATCCAGAAAAACGGACTGTTTGGTGCGCTTTATGGGCTGGTGGAATCCTTCTTCAAAAACGATGAAGGCCACAACGTTACAGTCAATGGTGATCGGTTTAGAGCCATGATTATTAACTTTTTCATTCCTGAATTGAACAATCATGATGTCCAGGAGCTGTGGTTCCAGCAAGACGGCGCAACATGTCACACAGCTCGTGCCACAATCGATTTATTGAAAGACACGTTTGGTGACCGCCTAATTTCACGTTTTGGACCTGTGAGTTGGCCTCCAAGATCTTGTGATTTAACACCGCTAGACTATTTTCTGTGGGGCTATGTAAAGTCATTGGTCTATGTGGATAAGCCACAAACGCTTGACTATTTGGAAGACAACATTTGCCGTGTTATTGCCGATATACGGCCACAAATGTTGGAAAAAGTCATCGAAAATTGGACGTCCAGATTGGACTACATCCGAGCTAGCCGTGGCAGTCCTATGCCAGAAATCATATTTAAAATGTAATGCCACAAGATTATCTTTCGAATAAAAAAATTCATGTCAATCGAATAATACATCGTTGTTTTATTGCAATTTAAAGTTCTATACCTTTAAAGAAACACCCTATACTAGTAAAACCACAGAATAAATAAAACAATAACTAGATTTTCACAATGGCCGTTACCAACACGAGACGGGTCTGTTGACATTACCAAAGCACATTACCAGAGTTACATAAAAGAAGCCACCAGCGTCTTTTTTAGTACATAATTGTTGTATCACGGTCAACAGAAACTTATAATAAAACTCTTCATTAATATTCAAATTAGTATTTAAATACCCTTCATGCAAAAAAAAATATTTTAACGTACATAAAATCAGTCACAACTATTACAGTAAGAAAATAGTTTTTGAGTGCAGAAATCATAAAAAATGTCTGGCAGTGTGTTGCCGTGTTGTACTAGATGGCGTTGTAACATTTGAAAAAAAAATGCACAATTGACCATTCCCAAAAGTAGTCATTGAAACATGCATACATTCACATGCCGTTCTTTATTTAATTCCACTAATTTGAACAATTTTGTATTCTATATAATTAACTATTAGTTAATACAAGCACTCACTTTTTCTTTAGGAAGGCTGTGTAAGAAATTCACGGAGGCCGCATGCGGACTTGAAAAGCTGCGGGTTTCCCACCTCTGAACTATACGATTACTTTACCTCACATTGAATCTCATAAATTCTATAAATTACTTAATATATCAAAATACGAGTACTCTACTCTCCATACGCTTGTGATATTAGTATGTAACATAATATCGAGGTATTTTTCTATCTAAAAGTGTTTCAAATTAAGTTGCTATTCTTCAGCATAGAAGGCTGCATTTATCGGTTATTACAGAAACCCTCAGTTTTCCGCTCTGGCTTTACTATTTAGTGATGTGGTCACAAAAGTGGGATACGCAAGACCCCTTTCTTCGATATTGCTTAGGCCCGGGGTGGGCATTAAGTCGATCGCGATCGACAGGTTGACCGTTAAGTCAATTTGAGGTGTGACCGCCTTTACTAAGACCTAGTAATCATTTCATCTTACGAAAGTCCGTCCAGAAATATCGCGTATTTATTCGAATCTAACGCCCCATCGATTCTAAGCCTCAGCCCAAATTCTCAACAAGATTTGGGAAAATTGAAAATTAGTCCAAAATGGCTTGTCGTTACCCAATTTTACGAAATTAAAATAAATTTAAAATGAAAATTGATAAGAAGTGAATAATTAATTATTTTATCAGTATTATAAACTTTTTTAAATACGTGCATGAAGCTGTATTAATTTCTCTAAATACCCACTCCAGCAATTTTTTCCCCTTCGATTCTAAGTCCCACCCGAGTTTTAGTAGCATTAACATTGAGAAAAAAGTGTGGCTTAGATTAGAGTAAATACGGTATTTTAAAAAAAAATACGAAAAAAACCGAATCATAAGAGA